AAAAATGGGCCCATTTTTGTGAAAAATGGGTCATTTTGGGGAGGTTTGCAGAGTACAAAAACTTTTTTTTTTAAATTGCCTCTTCAAAGCCTTGGTGCGTCTTATACTCCGGTGCATCTTATACTCTGAAAAATATGATATATGGAGAAAATTGGCTGGAAAAAGCTTTGTGATCCATTGTTTGACTGATTGAGAAATTCACCCTTCCTGCCTACCCAATAGTTTTACCAGCTACTTAGTGAACAGAACCAAGAACTAAACATTTTCATTGTGCAGATTGGGCTAGGCAGAAGGAAGATGGTTGATGGAAGAAACCAAATCCCTGCCTTGAAAGTTATTGTGTGCCAACTAGAGCTGAGCACACCAAGGAAGGGTATAATCAACTCTGGAGCAGCTGGCAACAAGGTCAATAAGCAAAAGGCCTGAAGATGAAGGTCCATCAATGTTTGGAGGAAAAAGGAACGAGAAGCAGCATGTTGAGGAAAAGGATATCATTCCCAACCCACCGCCTGCAGCAGAACAAACAGGCTGAGCTGTCTGCAGTCGAAGAAGAGAGACCCGCTCTTTAATTAAGGGAAGAATTCCAGCATCTAGTCAAAAAGAGCTTCCCCTAATCCTGAACCAGCCCAAATTATGGGCAGCCAAAATATTGATTTACTAAGCCACAGGCTGGAAGCATAAACACCATTCGTCAGAAGGATGGAAAACTGCAATGTTTCCAAGTGGCTGGTTTGAAAGGCAAGTCAAAATGATGAAAATGCTTCTACATGAGCATTTTTTTGAAAAAAAGCTGCATTTTCCAAATCTGAATGAAAAAGCCAAACGGCTGAAGGCCTGTTTTTTAACCCTGTAATATAAGACTGTTTCAATGGAAAGAAAACGACCAGAATTGTCATACAAGAAAGGTCTAGAAATACAAGAAACTACTGGGTTAAGTTCTGGAGGAGCTGACTGTTTACCTGTAGAGCAAAATGTTTATCCTCAAGTTTCCATTGGCCATTGTCTCATTTGACAAAAGCCGGCAGGAGAATTTCTCTTCTCAGCAGTAATCGTCCAGTAGAATATAAAAAGTCTTCTTTCAAAGCTAACATTTTTAGTCACTTCAGGATCCTAGGTTTGAACTTCCAGAACAATACAGCCAGTCCTCAACTTACCACAGTTCATTTAGTGACAGGTTGAAGTTACAACATCACATTTGTTAATTGAATTTTGCCCCATTTTATGATCTTTCTTGCCACAGTTGTTAGGTGAATCACTACAGTCATTAAGAATAATGGCTTCCCTGTTGACTTTGCTTGTCAGAAAGCTTGCAAAAGGTGATCACAT